CTCGTGATCCACCCGCCTCGGCCTCCCAAAGTGCTGGGATTACAGGCTCGAGCCACCGCGCCCGGCCGGATTTTTTTTTTTCATGACTGTCATCTTCATTGCAACTTAAAGGGTGTCAAAGGATACTGAAGAGAGTCACATGTGACTGTAGGTGCCCTCAAAATAGGGCGATGATGCCTTGTGAGGACAGGGAGGGCCGGAGTCCTCAGAATAATCAGAGTTTGTTAAACTAAGGCCCCGGGGTCAGGTGTTCGTCAGTGAAGTTTCTGGAGAAGCAGTCACGCACCTTCAGTGTAGTAACCTGCCCTCTGCTTGAGGTCCAGACCCGTAAGGCTGGAAAACATTTACCCTAGGGGGCCCTAGGAGCCGACGTGCGCCCGCCCTCATGTAAATGGCAAAGATAACAAAATCTTATTGGTGGGATGTGACGCTGGACACGTCACCAGCCTTCGCCCGCGTTAAATGCGCTTAACCAGACCCTGCCAGGTGGAGCCGGGCCGATTATGTCCTTCTCGTCTCCTCTTGTTCCCAGTGAAGCTTTGGGATTAGACAGGATTAGCCATTGCTCGAGGCTCCACAGTTAAGGACGAGCTGAGTCCACAGGTGCCCCCCACTTACCGGAGTCGCCAGCAGATGCCCTGAAAGCAGAGATAGTACTGAACCCTAGATAGAGAATGTTTTTTTTTTTGAGACGGAGTTTCGCTCTTGTTACCCAGGCTGGAGTGCAATGGCGCGATCTCGGCTCACCGCAACCTCCGCCTCCTGGGTTCAGGCAATTCTCCCGCCTCAGCCTCCTGAGTAGCTGGGATTACAGGCACGTGCCACCATGCCCAGCTAATTTTTTGTATTTTTAGTAGAGACGGGGTTTCACCGTGTTGACCAGGATGGTCTCGATGTCTTGACCTCGTGATCCACCCGCCTCGGCCTCCCAAAGTGCTGGGATTACAGGAGTGAGCCACCGCGCCCGGCCTTTTTTTTTTTTTTTTTTTTTGAGAGGGAGTCTTGCTTTGTTGCCCAGGCTGGAGTGCAGTGACGTGATCTCGGCTCACTGCAACCTCCACCTCCCCATGTTTAGGCAGTTCTCCTGCCTCAGCATTCTGAGTACCTGGGATTACAGGCACGTGTCACCACGCCCAGCTTATTTTGTATTTTTAGTAGAGACGGGGTTTCCCGATGTTGGCCAGGCTGGTCTCGAACTCCTGCCCGCCTTGGCCTCCCAAAGTGCTGGGATTACAGGTGTGAGCCACCGAGCCCAGCCATAATGTTTTTTTTGTTTTTTTTTTTTTTTGAGACAGAGTCTCGCTCTGTTGCCAGGGTGGAGTGCAGTGGCACGATCCCGGCTCACTGCAACTTCCGTTTTCCGAGTTCAAGCAATTCTTCTGCCTCAGCCTCCCGAGTAGCTGGGACGACAGGCACACACCACCACGCCTGGCTAATTTTTTGTACTTTTAGTAGAGACAGGGTCTCACCATGTTGGCCAGGATGGTCTCAATCTCTTGACCTCGTGATCCGCCCGCCTCGGCCTCCCAAAGTGCTGAGATTACAGGCGTGAGCCTCCGCACCCGGCCCATAATGTTTTTTTGTATACGTGTACGCGGGTGATGAAGTTTCACCGATACATTAGGCACAGTATGAGATTCGCATCTTCTCTTTCACGTGTTTGGGTCCTCTTTAGCATATCCAAATTGCCAGCGTCACTACTCTTGCCCTTTTGGGCCGTTACTTTTATTTTTGAGACCAGGTCTCGCTTTGTCGCTTAGGATGGAGTGCAGAGGTGCGATCATAGCTCACTGCAGCCTCAAACTCCTGGGCTCAAGCGATCCTCCTGCCTCAGCCTCCTGAGTAGCTGGGACTCCAGGCGCGTGCGACCACGCTGGGCTAATTTTTGTAGTTTTTGTAGAGAGGGGATCTTGCTAGGTTGCCCAGGTTTTTCTCAAACGCCCTGCGTTGGCCTCCCAAAGTGCTGGACTTCTTTAGTATAAATTATAATGTTTAATATTAGTATTTTGTATTTAGCCTGTAATCCCAGCACTTTGGATGACTGAGGCAGGCGGACCACCTGAGGTCAGGAGTTCAAGACCAGCCTGGCCTACATAGTGAAACTCCATCTCTACTAAAAATAAAAAAATCAGCTCAGTGTGGTGGTGGGTGTCTGTAATCCCAGCTACTCGGGAGGCTGAGGCAGGAGAATCACTTGAACCCGGGAGGCAGAAGTTGCCGTGAGCCAAGATCGTGCCACTGCACTCCAGCCTGGGCAACAGTGAGACTTGGTCTTAAAAAAAAAAAAAGAAAAAGATTTATATTTAATACTAAATCATATTTAATGATTATTATAATAATAATACATTATTATTCAACAGTGGGCCAGAGGCCATTATTAATTGAGGGAAACAAGGGTTCCTTGAACAGAGGTATTGTGATAAGACAGGTGCTGAGTGACTGCCCGGCGGGTAGCTTGGACAGCAAGGAGACCCTGGACAAAGGGAGGGTTCACATCCCTGCAGGACGATGCTGTGTTTCATCACTCCACTTAGAACAGTGTGCAATTTACAAGTTAGGAACTCTTTCTGGAATATTCCATGTAACATTTTCAGTTGGCTTTGGGTCACTGAAACCTCATCAAAACAGGATTAAGGAGGACTCCCCTGTGCTCTTCAGGAGATCGGGGGTCAGGTGCGTTTGGAAACCCAGACGTGGCGAGGGGGTGGGAAGAGTGGGCTCTAGGTAGCATGCGGACCGTTCCAAATGGCCCCGAAGGCTAACTGGCACCCGTCCTCCTTCTGCAGTATCCGGAAGGCTACTTGGAGGCCCTGGCCAACCGAGAGAGGGAGAAGGAGAACAGGAAGAGGGAGGAGGAGGAGCAGGAGGGGGGCTTCTCGGCCTGCAGGACGGGCAAGGGCAAGTGGAAGCGGAAGTCACCAGGTGAGCATCTTGGGGGTGTGGGTGGGCATTGTGGGGGTGTAGGGTTGGTATCTTGTGGGCGTCTTGTGGGCGTGGGGCAGGTGGGTGTCTCTCCAGCAGCTCTGGCGACGCGCCCCTCCCTCACGCACCCTGCTGTCTTCTAGGAGGTGGCCCAGGCAGGGCCGGGTCCCCGCGCCGGTCGTCCAAGAAAAGCAAGGTGGAGCCCTACAGCCTCACGGCCCAGCAGAGCAGCCTCATTAGAGAGGACAAGAGCAACGCCAAGCTGTGGAATGAGGTCCTGGCATCACTCAAGGACCGGCCAGCGAGCGGCAGCCCGGTAGGCACGCGCGGCCCAGTCGTCTCCCTGATTTGCACGGGAAAGTGTACGAAGCCTGTTTACCATGTTCACCATCTCAGTGGCACTGAGCATGTCCATGTAGTTGTGCAACCATCACCTTCATCACCTCCAGAACTTTCTCCTCTCCCCAGACCCCCACCCTGGCCTCTGCCGTCCTCCTTTCTGTTTGTGTCCCCTGGGACTGTTGGAAAGTGACCCCAAGCCTAAGAGTGCAAAGCGACTCATGTCTCACAGCTCTGGGGCCGGGTGCCCGACACGGGCCTTGCTGGGCTAAAGTCAGGGCATGGGCAGGGCCAGGCCCTCCTGGGGGCTTCGGGGGAGACCCCGATTCCAGCCTTGCCCAGCGTCTAGAGGCACTTGCCTCCCTCGGCTCACGGCCCCTCCCTCCTCCTTCACAGCCACAGCGCATGCTCTTCCAGTCTCTCTCTGACTCTCACCCTCCTCCCTTCTCTCGGGAGGACCTCGGGGTGACATCAGGCCCCCCCCCGCCTCACCCAGGATGCTCTCTCAGCTCCAGATCCTTCACTGAGTCCCGCCTGCCATTCCTCCTCGGCTGTGGATGGTGACATAGTTGGAGGTCCCAGGATGCAGCTGTGGCCAAGGCCATCTCGGGGTCCCTCTTCTCCCATTTCCTTCAGGCCATACTCTTCACAGGGTTTTCTCCGTGCTCGATTGCTGTCTCAGCTGCACCCCCAGCACCCCACCCCCCACCCTTCTCTGTGTCTCTTTGGTCCCCACACTTAGCTCCAAGCAGGAGGAGGTGTCTTTCAGGTCATCCGCAGCTGGGCTTCTGGTGGCCCATGTGGGTGCTCAGCATGCCTTAGGCCAGCAGAGCAGGGACCCACACCTCCGGAGAACCTTTCTTTCTTTTTTGACAGCATCTTGCTCTGTCACCGAGGCTACAGTGCAGTGGCACGAACACAGCTCACTGCAGCCTCAAACCTCCCAGGCCATGCCTATTTTTATTTTTTTATTTTTTATTTTCTTATTGAGATGGAGTTTCGCTCTTGTTGTTTAGGCTGGAGTGTGCAATCGCATGATCTCGGCTCACTGCAACTTCTGCCTCCTGGTTCAAGCGATTCTCCTGCCTCAGCCTCCCGAGTAGCTGGGACTACAGGCACCTGCCACCACACCTGGATAATCTCGTATTTTTAGTAGAGACAGGGTTTCACCCTGTTGGTCATGCTGGTCTTGAACTCCTGACCTAAGGTCATCCACCCACCTCGGCTCCCAAAGTGCTGGGATTACAGGCGTGAGCCACCACGCCCGGCCTATTTTTTAAATACTTTTTTTGTACAGATGGGGTCTCGCTGTGTTTCCAGGTTGGTCTTGAACACCTGGCTCAAGCAATCCTCCTGACTCAGACTCCCAAGGTGCTGGGGTGACAGGTATTAGCCACTGTGTCTGGCCAGGGGCAAAAGCCCTGTCTTGACTCAGTGCGGGCATGCTTGGTGGTGCCAACTGGTCGCATCCGGGTCCTTCCCTGCACCATTGAGGCCTGTGCCCCTGCACTGGCTCCACCGCATCCGCCCCACTTGGGTGTTGGGGATTTCCTGTGAGGCTCATGCCTCTTGGGCCTCTGTTTTTCCTTTTTTTTTTTTTTGAGATGGACTTTCCCTCTTGTTGTCCAGACTGGAGTGCAGTGGTGTGATCTTGGCTCACTGCAGCCTCTGCCTCCTGGGTTCAAGCGATTCTCCTGCCTCAGCCTCCCAAGTAGCTGGGATTACAGGCATGTGCCACCACACCTGGCTAGTTTTGTATTTTTAGTAGAGTAGAGACAGAGTTTCTCCATGTTGATCAGGCTGGTCTCAAACTCCCAACCTCACGCGATCCACCCGCCTCGGCCTCCCAAAGTGCTGGGATCACAGGCATGAGCCACCATGCCCGGTGAGCCTCAGAATGGGGGCGATTGTGGCCCCCGCCTCCTGGAGTGAAGGCTGGGAACAAAATTAGAGGACCCCAGTGCATGCTTAGCAGGAGGCTGCCGATCTCTGGGAGCCCTGGTCCCCAGGTCTTTGCCGGCCTCACGCCCGCTTCCCTCTAGTTCCAGATGTTCCTTAGTAAAGTGGAAGAGGCGTTCCAGTGCATCTGCTGCCAGGAGCTGGTGTTCCGGCCCATCACGACCGTGTGTCAGCACAACGTGTGCAAGGTGAGCGGGACTGCTGCGGGAGCCGGGCGGAAGGTTCTGGAAGGATCACCTGACCTCCAGGTCCCACAGCTGCTGCTGCAGATCGGGGCTCGTTGGCTTTGCCCTGCTTGCTCTGCAGCCATTCTCAGGGCCTTGTTGACTGCTTTCGGGACAGCCTGTATTACGATGGAGGCCTGGAACATTCTGCCCCCAGCTCTGTGGCCAAGGGGCCAGGGTGGGAGAGGATGGACCACAGTCCTGCCCCAGGGTCTGGAGAGGGAGGTGTGAGTGAGGTGCACATCCCCTAGGGGGCAGGAAGGAAGGTTTCCTGGAGGAGGTGGTGGTACGGGGCGGCATCCCAGGTACCCGGGACAGCAGGTGAAGAGGCCTGGGTGGGAAGCCAGCAGTGGGGGCCTGCGGTGGCTTTGGGGATTGGGGTCGTGGCCCAGCATGGGCTTTAGACTCAGGACAGGTGGTCTGTCTTAGGAGGGAAACATCCCTACTGATGCTTTTCAAAGAGATTGACTTGGGCAGGACAGGGTCTCTTCCCCTCTGTGCTGTGGGCATTGGGGCCAGATCATTCTCTGGGGTGGGGCCGTCCTGGGCACTGCAGGGTGCTGTACAGCATCCCTGGCCCCCACCCACTCCATGCCAGGAGCGCCCCGCTAGTCGTGACAGCAGACATCCCCAGATACCTCCCAGTGTCCCCTAGGGGCATAACTGCCTAGATGGGCAGTGTGGGTCTTAGTGATGGTTCCTCTGCTGTGACCTTTGGCCAGAGCCACCAGTCCCGATGGACAGGTGTGGAAGGGACTGACCCCGCCCCCACACGGCTCTCCCCTGGCTTCTGAATCGCCAGCGGTTTTCCTTTTAACTGCAGTCCTGCAATCCTCCTCTCAGCCTCAGGCCGCACCCCTGGGTCTTGGAGCCGGTATTTGCCTTCCTGGCAGGAGACAGATCAGGGAAGGTCAGGAGATGGAGTGTCCCCGGTCACCCCCATGGCATCTCTGCCTCCTCGGCCCCCGCCTCCTTCGCCGTTTGGCCTGAGTCCTTTCAGCTGTGTGGGCCGCCGAGTGGCCTGAGGTGGCAGAAGGGGCGAGAGGCCGTGGCATCTTTGGGGCTGGTGGTCCGGGTCTGAGCCATCTCTTACCTGTGAGCCGTGCAGCCACTAATTGCTCCAAGCCTCAGTTGCCCAGAGTGAGAAGGGGCCTGGGGACACTGTGCTGGCTGCCAGGTTATGGTGAAGGTCCCAGCTCAGCCCCTGGCAGGAAGGAGGTGCTCAGGAGGTGGGCACAGGCAGAGGCCTGGCTGCGGGGGGTGCTTGGAAGAGGGATGCCCAGGAGCCCCGTGGCTGCAGGAAGGACTGTGGGGAGGTTGTGAAACCACGTGTCCCGTGCCTCAGTATGAAGGTGCGTGGAAGTGCTGAGGATGCAGAGGAAGGGGCTGACCTGTGTCACTGTGTCCCCACCATCCGTCCCTGGGGCTCTGTTCCGACTTGGGAAGCTCAGCATCTGAGGGGTTCTGGGAAACAGGCTGTGACCTTCCACAGTGACCTTTTTAAATTAAAAACTTGAGGCTGGGCGTGGTGGCCCACACCTATAATCCCAGCACTTTGGGAGGCCGAGATGGGAAGATCACTTGAGGTCAGGAGTTCGAGACCAGCCTGACCAACATGGTGAAAACCAGTCTCTACTAAAAATACAAAAAAATTAGCTCGGCTTGGTGGCAGGCCCTGTGATCCCAGCTGCTCGGGAGGCTGAGGTAGGAGAATTGCTTAAACCCGGGAGGCAGAGGTTGCAGTGAGCCGAGATGATGCCATTGCACTCCAGCCTCAGCATCAGAGTGAGACGCTGTCTCAAAAAAAAAAAAAAGGAAAATACATTTAGAGACAGTATCTTGCTCTCTCTTGTAGGCTGGAGTGCAGCGGCACAGTGATAGCTCATTGCAGCCTTGAACTCCTTGGCTAAAGGGATCCTCCTGCCTCAGCCTCCTGAGTAGCTGGACCTACAGGAGTATTCCACCATGATTGGCTAATTTTTGTATTTTTTGTGGAGATCGGGGTGGGGGTGGGGACTCACCTTGTTGCCCAGGCTGGTCTTGAACTTCTGAGCTCAAGCGACCCACATGCCTCAGCCTCCTAAACAGCTGGGATCACAGGTGTAAGCCACCATACCCGTCCAGGAGTTTTTAAAAATAGCAAACAATGTCCAGGCGTGGTGGCTCACACCTGTCACCCCAGCACTTTGGGAGGCCAAGGCGGGTGGATCACTTGAGCCCAGGAGTTTGAGACCAGCCTGGCCAACGTGATGAAACCCCAGCTCTACTAAAAATTCAAAAATCAGCTGGGTGTGACGGTGGGTGCCTGTAACGCCAGCTACTCGGGAGGCTGAGACACGAGAATCCCTTGAACCCAGGAAGTGGAGGCCACAGTGAGCCAAGATCACACCATCGCGCTTCATTCAGCCTGGGCGACAGAGTGAGACTCAATCTCAAACATACCAAACAGAAGCCACAGGCTGCCAGGGGCACAGGGTTGTTCACCGGTCACTGGGCGTGTCCCCCGCGTTACCACTGCCCTCGTCCAGGTGTGTGACATCATGCTGCAGGCATGTGCCTCCGCGCAGGCGTGCGTTGTCTCATTCCTGCCTGGCGCGCAGCCAGCCCTGCGGCGTCTTGCCTGTTTGCCTGCTTGGGAAGTGGAGGCTCCAGGCCTCTGAGCTCCGTCCTCTGGCTTTCTTCCCCATGCCCGACCTGGTTAGCTGAGCTTGAATTTAGGAGTCTGAATCCACCCGACCTGGTTCCTTCCTCCTTTTCCCCTTTGTCCTCATTGATGTGTGTATTTATTTTTTAAAGTTTTCTTATTTTTTTCTTACTTTTACTTTAGAGATGGGGTTTCACCGTGTTGGCCAGGCGGGCCTTGAACTCCTGACCTCAGGCGCTCCGCCTGCCTCGGCCTCCCAAAGTGCTAGAATTACAGGCGTGAGCCATCGCACCGGGCCCTATGTGTTTATTTTTTACTTTTATTTTTGAGGCAAGGTCTTGCTCTGTCGCCCAGGCTGGAGTGCAGTGGCGTGACCGTGGCCCGCTGCAGCCTCAACCTCCCTGGGCTTCTCTTACCCCAGCCTCCAGAGTAGCCATGCCCAGCTAATTTTTTGTAGTTTTAGTAGAGACGGGGGTTGACGGTGTTGACCAGGATTGTCTCGATCTCTTGACCTTGTGATCCACCCGCCTTGGCCTCCCAAAGTGCTGGGATTACAGGCTTGAGCCACCGCGCCCGGCCAATTTTTTTTTTTTTTTTTTCTTTTTTTTGGAGACAGAGTCTTGCCTTGTTGCCCAGGCTGGAGTGCAGTGGCATAATCTCAGTTCAGTGCAACCTTCACCTCTTGGGTTTAAGCCGTTCTCTTGCCTCAGCCTCCCAAGTAGCTGAGACTACTGGCATGTGCCACTGTGCCCGGCTAATTTTTGAATATTTAATTTTGAGACGGAGTTTCGCTCATGTTGCTCAGGCTGGAGGGCAGTGGCGTGATCTCAGCTCGTTGCAACTTCCACCTCCTGGATTCAAGCAAGTCTCCTGCCTTAGTCTCCCGAGTAGCTGGGATTACAGGCGCCCAACACCACGCCTGGCTGATTTTTATATTTTCAGTAGAGACAGGATTTCACCGTCTTGGACAGGCTGGTCTTGAACTCCTGACCTCAGGTGATCCACCCACCTCAGCCTCCCAAAGTGCTGGGATTACAGGCATGAGCTACCCCACCTGGCCACTTTTTGTATTTTTAGTAGAGACAGGGTTTCACTATGTTGGCCAGGCTGGTCTCTGCTCCCGATCCGCCTGCCTCAGCCTCCCAAGGTGCTGGGATTATAGGCATGAGCCACGATGCTCGGCCTGGTGTGTGTGTTCATTAAGCACCTACTGTATACACCGTAGTTGGTGTTGAGAGACAACACAGCCTCAAAGCTCAGGGAGCCTCTGGCCTGTCCTGGGTAGATAAGCACATTAGTACGTAAGACAGCTCCACAGGCGGAGGGAGAGGTGGCGTCGTGAAGGCAGAATGGGGCCAGGCGATAGGACTGACTGCCTCTGATACTCTAGGGAGCTGTCAGGGAAGGCCCCTTAGAGGGGTGACTTGGGCCAAGCTTTTACTGATGAGAGCCTCGGGGTGAGTAGACCCGTGAAGCCACATGACCTGCCAGGGACAATAGCCCAGAGGCTGGGTGAGGCCAGGCTGGTGCTGGGCAGCAGGTGGGAAGTGAGACTGAAGGTCGTGGGGGGCCTCTGGACCTTGGGAGACTGTCCCCGGGAGCGGTGGCCAGGAGCAAACCCGATGGTGTGGATGGCTTCTCACCCGGCCGCCGTGTCTTCCAGGACTGCCTGGACAGGTCGTTCCGGGCACAGGTGTTCAGCTGCCCCGCCTGCCGCTACGACCTGGGCCGGAGCTACGCCATGCGGGTGAACCAGCCTCTGCAGACCGTCCTCAACCAGCTCTTCCCCGGCTACGGCAACGGCCGGTGATCTCCAAGCACTTCTTGACAGGCGTTTTGCTGGAAACGTGTCGGAGGGCTCTCATCGGCCTCGGTGTTCTTCTTAGTGGGCTTAACTTAAACAGGTAGTGTTCTCTCCGTTCCCTAAAAAGGTTCGTCTTCCTTTTTTTTTTTTTTTTAAATTTTTATTTTTCAAATCTATACATTTTCAGGAATTTATGTATTCTGGCTAAAAGTTGGACTTGTCAGTATTTTGTGTCGTTTTTATTTTGAAAACATAAAAGCCTGCAATTTCTCGACAAAACAACATAAGACTTTTTTAAAGATGGAATCAGAAACTTCGTGGCGTGGAGGCTGTTCACGTTTCTGATGTCAGGTTCTCAGAAGCTGCTGCCACCGGCTGTAAGGAGGTGGAGGGATCAGTCCTTCTTCCGGGTTTGTGGGTTTGGCCCCCAAGGTCAGAGCAAGCATCTTCCTGACGGCCTTGTAGCATCTGAAGTCTAGTGACATGGTTCCCGTGGTGGCCCGTGGCGTGGCGTGGCATGGCGTGGCTCAGCTGTCTGTTGAAGTCGCAAGGAAAAGAGAAAACACCTCGGGCCTGGTTCAAACCTTTCCCTCAAAGCCATCCGCCGCCAGACTGCTTGGCATCTGAGATCCGCGTGAAAAGTCCTCTGCCCACTCACGCAGGGAGCTGGGGCCGCACAGAAATGGCCTCGAGGGGACTCTGCTCCACGTGGGGCCAGGGGAGTGGCTGATGCTGTCCGGCGAAGGTGGCCACGGACGGACGGCAGCACACGAAGCCATGTTCAAGTGCCTTTGGTTCCTTCCTCCTTTGCAAAGACGACAGTCTTTGTTGTTAGCACTGAATTGTTGAAAATGCCAACCAGATTCTAGAATCTGCGGTCATCCAGTTCTTCCTGACACCGGGTGGGTGCTTGGGAACAGTTTTGAGTCTTACAGATCATTTAAATTCAATTTTTTAACTCTGCAATTGAGAACTTACAAGAGGGATTTTTTTTTTAACGGACACATTTTCTAAATGAATTTTTTTTGTAGTTTACTGTATATGTACCAAGAAAGATATAATGTTAGGGGCTGGTTGTTTCTTATTTTTTTTTTTTATTTTTTTTTTGAAAGGGTTTGTTAACTTTTCTAATTTTACCAAAGTTTGCAGCCGATACCTCAATAGAACAGGGATATTTTAAATCACATACCTGCAGACCGACTGGAGCAATGTTATTTTTAAAGGGGTTTTTTTTTTTCACTTCCTTATTCTTAGATTATTAATGTGTTAGGGAAGAAATGAGGCAATTTATGTAGGCTTTTTCTAAAGTCCCGTACTCTTTGTCCAGATTTTAGATTCTCAGAAAATAAATGTTTTTCACAGACATACGTGATTGTGTCTTTGTATTTGCAAACTGCCTCGGAGCTTTCTGTGCACTTTTGTGCAGTATTTTACAAAATTCCCAGGAGACAAATGAGGCAGGTGGCTTCAACCCCACTTTGCAGATGAGAAAACTGGGACCCAGGAGATGACGGGTATGGGCTGGGGTTCTAACCACAGCTCAGGAGGTGGCGGGCCGTTGACGTTGCAGTGTGGAGCACAGCGGTCAGCAAACCACAGCCAATGGGACCCAGGTCAGAACACCGCCTGTCTTTGTCAATAAAGTTTTATTGACACCACCACACCCATTTCTTTATGCATGCAATGGCATTTGCGCTGAGTAGCTACAGCAGAAACCATCTGGAACAGAGCCGAAAACACGAGCTGGGTGGCAAAGCTTGCTGGTCCCTTCTCAGAAGGATCCCTTGAGTGTAGGAGTTTGAGAGCAGCCTGAGCAACATGGCAAGACCCCAACTCTACCAAAAAAAAAAAAAAAAAAAAAAAAAAAGTAGCCAGGTGCGGTGTCTGTAGTCCCAGCAACTCAGGAGGTTGAGGCAGAAGCCTGATGGCTTGAGCCCCGGAGCTGGAGGCCGCAGTGAACTGTGACTGCACTGCTGCTCTCCAGCGTGGGCCAACAGAATGAGATGCTGTCTTTAAAAACGTTTTTGTTTTGCTTTTTAAATCTCAGGGGACGGTAAAGGGGCTCTGTCCTGCAGAGGAATTAATTCACATCAACCTATTACTGGGAACTTGTATTGATGGTTAAGTAACCACATGGGCAGACTTTGTTTTGTTTTTGAGATAGTCTTGCTCTGTTGTCCAGGCTGGAGGGCAGTGGTGTGATCACAGCTCATGGTAGCCTCCATCTCCTAGGCTCAAGTGATCCTCCCAAGTAGCTGTGACCACAGGCCTGCAGCACCATGATTGGCAAATTTATTTATTTATTTATTTATTTATTTATTTTTGAGACGGAGTTTCGCTCTTGTTACCCAGGCTGGAGTGCAATGGCGCGATCTCGGCTCACCGCAACCTCCGCCTCCTGGGTTCAGGCAATTCTCCTGCCTCAGCCTCCTGAGCAGCTGGGACTACAGGCACGCGCCACCATGCCCAGCTAATTTTTTGTATTTTTAGTAGAGACGGGGTTTCACCATGTTGACCAGGATGGTCTCGATCTCTTGACCTCGTGATCCACCCGCCTCGGCCTCCCAAAGTGCTGGGATTACAGGCTTGAGCCACCGCGCCCGGCCAATTGGCAAATTTAATTTTTTTTTTTTTTTTTTTTTTTTTGTAGAGACAGGGTATCATTATGTTGCCCAGGCTGGTCTCCAACTCCTGTGATCAAGCGATCCTCCCATCTCAGCCTCCCAAAGTGCTGGGATTGCAGATGTGAGCCACCATGCGCAGCCTGGGTTTCTTTGTGACGTGGTAACAATATTCTGAAATTGATGGCTGCACGTGTCTGGATGTACTAAAATCCACAGAATTGTATACTTCAACGGGTGAATTGTATGGTACGTGGATCATACCAGAAATATGTCAAGTGTGAACGTGAAAATGGGAAAGATGCCCAGCTGAAGGCCACTCTGTAAATGTCCCGGTGGGTCCTTCCTAGAAAACACCAAAGTGGGTTCATTGTTGAGAGTGTTGCCTTTTTCATTTTTCTCTCACTTTAAAATTAAGAACAATGTCATGTTTAAAAAATGAGCAAAACCCAGAAAAGTATTTGTGGAACTGTTTTGCCACTGACTTTAATGTTGGGCGTATTTCTTCCCTGGTTCACTTAAAGAAATTTTTTTTGGCCAGGAGCGGTGGCTCACGCCTGTAATCCCAGCATTTCAGGAGGCCGAGGTGGGCGGATCACGTGACGTCAGGAGTTGGAGAGCAGCCTGGACAACATGGCAAAACCCCGTCTCTACTAAAAATACACAAATTTGCCGGGTGTGGCGATAGCTGCAGTCCCAGCTCCTCTGGGGGCTGAGGCAGGAGAAGCGCTTGAACTTGGAAGGTGGAGGTTGCAGTGAGCCAAGATCATGCCACTGCACTCCAGCCTGGGTGACAGAGTGAGACTGTCTCCCAAAAAACCAAAATTGTGTTTTTGATTCAGGATCTCACTTCGTCACCCAGGCTGGAGTACAGTGGTGTGATCGTAGCTCACTGCGGCTTCAAACTACCATGCTCAAGCAATCCTCTTACCTTAGCCTCCTGAGTAGCTGGGACTATTAGAGGTATGAACCAACATGCCTGGCTAATTTTTTTGACTTTTTTTTTTTAAGTCGAAGTCTCACTATATTGTCCAGGCTGGTGTGGAACTCCTGGCCTCAAGCCATCTTCCTGCCTGGGTCTTCCAAAGTGCTGGGATTACAGGTGTGATCTACCATGCCTAGCCTAAAAATCTTTAACAGCTCTACTAAGACAATAGGTAACACAAAAGTCACCCTTTTAAAATGTACAGTTCAGTGGTTTTATCTTATTATATTTTATTTATTTATTTATTTTTTTGAGACGGAGTTTCGCTCTTGTTACCCAGGCTGGAGTGCAATGGCGCGATCTCGGCTCACCGCGACCTCCGCCTCCTGGGTTCAGGCAATTCTCCTGCCTCAGCCTCCTGAGTAGCTGGGACTACAGGCACGCACCACCATGCCCAGCTAATTTTTTGTATTTTTGGTAGAGACGGGGTTTCACCATGTTGACCAGGATGGTCTCGATGTCTTGACCTCGTGATCCACCCGCCTCGGCCTCCCAAAGTGCTGGGATTACAGGCATGAGCCACCGCGCCCAGCCCCTTCTTTTATTTTCTTGAGAAGGAGTCTCACTCTGTCACCCAGGCTGGAGTGCACAGGCACGAGTTCGGCTCACTGCAAACTCTGCCTCCCGGGTTCAAGTGATCCTCCTGCCTCAGCCTCCCGAGCAGCTGGGATTACAGGGATGCACCACCTCGCCTGGCTAATTTTCACATTTAAAGTAGATAAAGGGTTTTACTGTGTTGGTCAAGCTGGTCTCGAACTCCTGACCTCAGGTGATCTGCCCGACTCGGCCTCCAGAAGTGCTGGGATTATTGGTGTGAGCCAGCATGCGTGGCCAGCTCGGTGGTTTTAGTGTAGTTATACATTTCCACAGCCAGCACCACCATCTAATTAGTGAACATTTCCGTCCACTCAAAAGGAAACCTCACAGCCGTCTGCAGTCATGCCCTGAGTCCCTCCCCCAAACCCTGCCAGCCACTGATCCTCGCTCTGTCCTTATGGATTTGCTTGCCCTGGACATTTCATATAAATGGAATTATACAGTATGTATCCTTTTGTGTCTGGCTCCTGTCACTCAGCATGGAATTTTCTTTTTTTTTTTTTTTTTTTGAGACGGAGTTTCCCTCTTGTTACCCAGGCTGGAGTGCAATGGCGCGATCTCGGCTCACCGCAACCTCCGCCTCCTGGCTTCAGGCAATTCTCCTGCCTCAGCCTCCTGAGTAGCTGGGATTACAGGCACGCGCCACCATGCCCAGCTAATTTTTGTATTTTTAGTAGAGACGGGGTTTCACCATGTTGACCAGGATGGTCTCGATCTCTTGACCTCGTGATCCACCTGCCGCGGCCTCCCAAAGTGCTGGGATTATAGGCGTGAGCCACCACGCCCGGCCTAGCATGGAATTTTCAAGGTTCACTGGCATGGTAACCTGTATCCGAGCTTTATTCCTTTTCATGGCTGAGTAGTATTCCACTCTATGGATGGGCCACCTTTCTATAATCCCCGTTTAACTTGCTTTTTATGTTTTTAAAGGTGGAGTCTTGCTCTGTTGCCCAGATTGAAGTGCAGTGGCACATTCTCAGGTCACTGCAACCTCCACCTCCTGGGTTTAAACGATTCTCCAGCCTCAGCCTCCTGAGCAGTTGGGATTACAGGCACAAGCCACCATGCCTGGCTAATTTTTTATATTTTTGGTAGAGATGGGGTTTCACCATGTTGGCCAGGCTGGACTTGAGCTCCTGACCCCAAGCGATCTGCCCACCTCGGCCTCCCAAAGTGCTTGGGTTACAGGTGTGAGCCACTTCACCCAGGCTGACTTGTTTTTTGCTTTTTATTTTTATAATTTTTAAGACTTTAATTTTTTGAGATGGAGTCTTCCTCTGTAGCTGGAGTGCAGTGGTGTAATCTTGGCTCACTGCAGCCTCCACCTGCTGGGTTCAAGCAATTCTCCTGCCTCGGCCTCCTGAGTAATTGGGATTACAGGCGCGGGCCACCCTGCCTGGCTAAGTTTTTGTATTTTTGATAGAGACAGGGTTTTGCCATGTTGGCCAGGCTGGTCTCGAACTGCTGAGCTCAAGTGATCCTCCCACCTTGGCCTCCCAAAGTGCTGGGATTACAGGCGTGAGCCACTGCCCCCTGGCCTGACTTGTTTTTTATTTTAAGAGAGAAAGTCTCACTCTGTCACCCAGGCTGGAGTACAGTGGTGTGATCACAGTTCATTGCAGCCTCAACTTTTGGGCTCAAGGGATCCTCCTGCCTCTGCCTCCCAAAATGCTGAGATTATAGTCATGAGCCATCGAGCCCAGCTGCCATCTCAATTTTAATTTTTTTATTTGTTTGAGACAGTCTTCATTGCCCAGGCTGGAGCGCAGTGGTGCAGTCTCTGCTCACTGCAGCTTCCGCCTCTGCGGTTCAAGCGATTCTAGTGCCTACCCCTCTCGAGTAGATGGGACTACAGCCATGCACCACCACACCTGGCTAACTTTTCTACTTTTTGTAGAGATGGGGTTTCGCCATGTTGGCCAGACTGGTCTCGAACTCACAGACTCAAGCGATCCTCCTACCTCAGCCTCCCAAAGTGCTGGGATTATAGTTCAGCCACCATCCGGCCTCCCACCTCAATTTGTTAGTGCAGCAGACCAACCCGTAAGGGAATCTATGAAAGCATCGGTCATTTCTGCGTTCCACACCTTGCCTGTCTAGAAAGACTGACGGAGACCAGTCAGAAATTGAGCACTGGGCCTGCTAATTTGGGAGTGCTTGACGTCTGAAAGCCACGCCTCCTCGCATTGTTTAGTGGGAGGTGCACCGGCAGCATTCCCTGCCCTAGTCCTTTGTGAGATGTGCATCTGACTGCAAAGAACGGGAGATACGACAGGGCAATAGGTGAGTGTTCCCTCAGCGAATCTGTTGGTTAAAATATTGCAAAGCGCCGTTCCTTCCTCTTCGAAGTGTGAGCGTTTCTGCTTACCTGACAGCAATTTATAGTGTGTGTTTACATTTTAAAGTGAAAAGTTTCCAAAACTTGAAAAGAATCAGATGGTGATCCCTCAGGGATACGCACCCACCTTCCAGATTCTCTGATGGTTAAGTCTTTCTCATACTAGATGCCGTTAAAACTTTAAGCAAAATAAAGTTGAGAACCCATTTAGGTTCCTCAGTTGAAAACATTTATGTTGTCTGTGAAACCTAAATACCCTCACTGTCTTGCAAGAATATACCTGGAAGTAGAACAAAGAGCCATATGTATGTGGGGTGGGGACCCCTTTCTTTCATGATTACATTTTTTTTTTTTTATATATGGAGTCTTGCTCTGTCACCAGGCTGGAGTGCAGTGGCACAATCTTGGCTCATTGCAACCTCTGTCTCCCGGGTTCAAGCAATTTCCCTGCCTCAGCCTCCTGAGTAGGTGGGACTACGGGTGTTTGCCACCACACCCGGCTAATTATTTGTATTTTAGTAGAGACGGTGTTTCACCATGACCAGGATGGTCTCGATCTCCTGACCTCGTGATTCACCCACCTTGGCCTCCCAAAGTGGTAGGATTATAGGCGTGAGCCACCGCGCCTGCCCCCCCCCACTTTTTTTTTAAAACAGGATTTCAAAAACAAAGTGTCAAGGTGCGATCATGACTCACTGCAGCCTCGACCTTCCAGGCTCAAGTGATCCTTCCTCCTCAACCCCCTAGGTAGCTGGGACCACAGGCATGTGCTACCACAGTCAACTAATTTTTTATTATTTATTTATTTATTTTTATTTATTTTTATTTTTTTGAGACAGAGTTTCGCTGTTGTTGCCCAGACTGGAGTGCAATGGCACGATCTCGGCTCACCACAACCTCCGCCTCCTGGGTTCAAGCAGTTCTCCTGCCTCAGTCTCCCGAGTAGCTGGGACTACAGGCACGCACCACCATGCCCAGCTAATTTTTGTATTTTTAGTAGAGACGGGGTTTCACCTTGTTGACCAGGATGGTCTCGATCTCTTGACCTTGTGATCCACCCGCCTCGGCCTCCTAAAGTGCTGGGATTACAGGCGTGAGCCACCACGCCTGGCCTT